GCGCCTGCCACAATGCCTGGCTATTTTTTGGTTGCAGCTGTTGTTGTTTGGTGGGCCTGGGCTGGATTCGAACCCCCACCTTAGGTGTATGTGGCTGGCGCCTTAGCCACTTGAGCCACAGGCGCCGAGCCTGTAAATTTTCTTGAAATGATTTTTTTTCTCCTTGATGCTAATGGTAATCGCTATCCTGTGGGTGGGGCCGGTCAACAGTGGGGATATAGAATGGGAATTAACAGATGGGATGAAGACAGTGCTGGAACCCCTAAACTCAGGACCTCACCAGGTCAGACACCAGAAGTTTACTCTTTCTGGAGCATTGCCCTGTCCTCAACTGTCGGTATCCGGACTAGAGGTTGCAGGTAGGGTCATGGTACTGGGATGAGGTGAGTGACTTCTTAGGACCAAGAGAGGAAGGACCAGAAGGACCCCCGTGTGACCCAGGCCTCCCTTAGTCAGTGCACAGCCTTGCCTCTGAGGCACTTAGTCGAGGTGAGCTGAGTTGGGGTTCTAGGTACTGCAGTCTTAGTTTCCCTTTCGGCCTCTGCTTTGGGCCTTGACATCGTCCCAAGATGTATCGTCAGTCAAGCTGATGTAGGAGCTGAGGGACTCCCGAAGACCCTCACTGAGAAGAGGTTCCTCTCCTGTAGCAGGTGCTTCAGAAAACAGGAGGGAGCTGTGGATGGGGGAACAAAGCTGGGTCAAGGAGCCTCTTTCTCCTCCACATACTTGCTGCACAGGGCACTGTTCTCAGAGCCTGTCTCCAAGTCACTCCTGCTAAAAAACTCATAGGGCCTTCCCCATGCCCCATCAGATCAACCATCTGACCACCGCCTACTGAGCATGGACTGAGTGCTTTCTGGCTCCCAGGTGTCCCTGAGCAGGCCAGACTCATTCTGGGTTGGGGGTTTCCAGGGGTGGGTTTTCCTAACTCATGTTTCCAGGAGTCCCCTTACCTGTCCAGCTCTTTCCAGTTGAGTGGTGTCCTCTGCACAGTAATAGGTAGGGGTATGTCCTTGGCAGGGAGTGGGCTAGCCCTCTGCAGGACACAAGGCTTCTTGAGGAGGCAGCAGATGTCGTCCGCCAGCTCTGAGGAAGAGACCTAGACCCTCACATGACTGACTTCAGCCCTGCTTCTCCCCTATAATCCTGACCCTGATAACTTTCCACACCTGGCAGTGGAATGGTTTCCAAAGAGTAACAGACATGAGCTCCTCAAGCTATTAGTTGCATGGAGGCTGACATGCATAAAAAGGTCACTTTAGGTTATATTTTGGGAGACTTAATTCATTGTATGATTTCAGGTAAGTTAAATAGACCTCTTTGAGCCCTGATTTCTGTTTTTGAAAGTGCTCTGAAGGGGTGGCACCTGTGGTTCAGTGGGTAGGAAGCCAGCCCCATATACTGAGGGTGGCAGGTTCAAACCTGACCCCAGCCAAACTGCAACAAAAAATAGCTGAGCGTTGTGGTGGGCACCTGTAGTCCCAGTTACTTGGGAGACTGAGGCAAGAGAATCACCTAGGCTTGGCACCTGTGGCTCAAGTGGCTAAGGTGCCTGCCACATATACCTAAGGTGGCGGGTTCGAATCCAGCCCGGCCCACCAAACAACAATGATGGCTGCAACCAAAAAAATAGCCGGGTGTTGTGGCGGGTGCCTGTGGTCCCAGCTACTTGGGAGACTGAGGGAGGACAGACGCTTGAGCCCAGGAGTTGGAGGTTGCTGTGAGCTGTGATGCCACAGCACTCTACCCAGGGGGACAGCTTGAGGCTCTGTCTCAAAAAAAAAAAAAAAAAAGAGAGAATCGCCTAAGCCCAGGAGTTGGAGGTTGCTGTGAGCTGTGATGCCATGGCACTTAGCCCAGGGCAGCAGCTTGAGACTCTGTCTCAAAAACACAAAAAAAGAAAGTGCTTTGGAAAAAGAAAGCTAAGGAATGGTCAATCTATTTACTTCTGCATGGTGTGGCCCTGCAGAAAACTTTGATCAGGAGTAGTCTTCCCTCTCTGCTCTCCTGACATTGTGCCCTGGTGACTTCATCAGGAGATGGTAAGAATCAGAATTGAGGCTTGGCATCTGTAGCTCAGCAGCTAGGGTGCCAGCCACATACACCAGAGCTGGCGGGTTTGAACCCAGCTTGGGCTTGCCAAACAACAATGACAATCACAACAAAAAAATAGCCAGGTGTTGTGGTGGGCACCTGTAGTCCCAGCTACTTGGGAGGCTGAGGCAAGAGAATCACTTGAGCCCAAGAGTTTGAGGTTGCTGTGAGCTGTGACACCACAGAACTCTACCGAGGGTGACATAGTGAGACTCTCTCAAAAAAAAAAAAAAAATCAGAATTGATTTCCACACAGCACCAGCGCTGGGCCTAGTTCCTGTGAAAAGAACTCTGTTGCTGCTGTGGGCTCTGAATCAGAACCAGACTGGACTGGCCTGCCTGTCTGAGCTCACGCAGGTCTATGGCTTTCCTGTCAGGGAATGAGATGAAGACAGGGCTACCCACTTGCATGTCTTGGCACAGACTGACACGAGGACAAGGGAGGTCCTGTTGGGATATTCTCTAGCAGGTAAAATCTCTAAGGGCACACGAATCTTTCCCCTCTAGACCCCTCATCCCAGTCTACTCTCATGGAGGCAGGGAAAGGCCATACCAGAGTAATGGTCCACCAGAGCTTGGAGGGAAGGGAAAGTGAGGCGCGGTGAAATGTACAGCCAGCCATTGTCAAGGCATTGGATCCTGTAGTGTCTGATCCGGTCCCAGGATGCAGGGCGGCTGAGTCTGATGGATAGTGAATAACAGCCTGAGGAGGAATGGGTAGGTGGATAGGGGCACGGAGGATCTGCCAGGATCCAAGCCCACCCAGGTTAGGGGAAGGAGGAAATGAGAAATGGCCACAGGGCTCAAGCTAAAGGGAAGTATCTCAGGCAGGGGTAAGACAAAGACGTGCTCTGTTGGCCATGAATTACAGGTTCATAGATGAGGCCTTTTTGAGGATGAAATCAGGTAACGCACACAATGCCCTCAGTACAGAATCTGGCATTTTGTCAGTGAACATGAAATGTTGGCTATTGTTACAGACTCAGGTGGCAGAAATGTTAGAATGTGAAAAGATGTCAAGCAAATGTCACCACGGAGGTAGAGAAATAGGAACTTTCATCCTGCTGGTGGAAAGAGAAATTAATAGAAGCCACTTTGGAAACAGTTTGTCATTAACTAGCTGACATGCATTACAACCTTGCAGTTCCATCTGGGGCACATTACTTTAGAAATACACAAATATGGGCAGTGCCTGTGGTTCAGTGGGTAGGATGCCGGCCCCATATACCATGGTGGCAGCTTTGAACCTGGCTCTGGACAAACTGCAAACTAAAATATAGCCGGGTATTGTGGTGGGCACCTGTAGTCCCAGTTACTTGGGAGGCTGAGACAAGAGAATTGCCTAAGCGCAGGTATTAGAGGTTGCTGTGATCTGTAACGTGCTATGGCACGCTACTGAGGGCAATAAAGTGAGACTCTGTCTCAAAAAGAAAAAAAAAAGGCTCGGTGCCTGTGGCTCAAGTAGCTAAGGCACCAGCCACATACACCTAAGGTGGCAGGTTCGAATCCAGCCCAGGCCCACCAAAACAACCACGGCTGCAACCAAAAAAATAGCTGGGTGTTATGGTGGGCACCTGTGGTTCCAGCTACTTGGGAGGCTGAGGCAGGAGACTCGCTTGAGCCCAAGAGTTGGAGGTTGCTGTGAGCTGTGATGCCACAGCACTCCACCCAAGGGGATAGCTTGAGGCTCTGTCTCAAAAAATAAATAAAGTAATACATTAAAAAAAAGTAAAGAAAGATATACACAAATGTGAACATTCACAGAAGCATTGTTTGTAAAAACTACAAACAGCCTATTTGTGGGGCGGTGCCTGTAGCTCAGTGGATAGGGTGCTGGCCACATACACTGAGGGCACTGGCAGGTTCAAACCTGGCCCCAGCCAGCTAAAATCAACAACGACAACTGCAAGAACAACAACAAAAAATCTGGGTGTTGTGGCGGGTGCCTTAGTCCCAGCTACTTGGGAAGCTGAGGCAAGAGAATTGCTTAAGACCAAGAGTTTTAGGTTGCTGTGAGCTGTGATGCCACTGCACTCTACTGAGGGCAACAGAGTAAGACTCTTGTCTCAAAACAAAACAAAAAAACAGCCTGTTTGTGCACAATAGTAGATTAAATGGTGGCTTACAGAATGTAACAGTATATAATAGTAAAAATTAATAACTGCTATAATATAAGCATAAAACAATTTTGGAATTAATGAGTAGAAACAAGTCACAGAGTATATCTTCAGCATGATTTTTTTCCCCTCTGAGACAGAATCTTACTCCATTACCCTGGATAGAGTGCTGTGACATCATCATAGCTTACAGCAACCTCTTGGGCTCAAGAGATCCTCTTGTCTCAGCCTTCAGAATAACTGGATCAAAAGGTGCTTTCCACAACACCCAGTTAACTTTTAGTAGAGACTGGGTCTTGTTCTTGCTTAGGGTCGTCTTGAACTCAGCTCAAGCAATCCACTCACCTGGGCCTCCCAGAGTGCTAGGATTACAGGCCTGAACCACTGCACCCAGCCAGCATGATTCTATTTAAAGTTCACGGGTAGCCAAGACTGTATTACACGTTACACAGAGATACATGTAAGGCAAAGCTATGAAGAAAAGCAACTGGATGATTAGCAATAGCGCATCAAAGGGCTTTCAAGGGACTGTTACTGTACAATTTCTTAAGTTGGCAAGTGAGTACATGGATGTTAGTTTTACTATTATTCTTGAACCTATATGTGTACATCATGTACACTGGTATAGGATTTTTCCATTTTTGTGTTTTTAGTTTTTTTACGTATACTTTACGAGGTATAATTTACATGCCGTGTAATAAAAACACACACATTTAAACTGTACAGTTTGCTAAGTTTCAGCAATTTTTTTGGGGGGGGGAGACAGTTTCACTCTGTCCCCTATGCTATAGTGCCATGACATTAGCCTACCTCATAACAACTTCAAAATCCTGGGTTTAGGCAATTCTTCTGCCTCAGCCTGGGACTACAGGTGCCTACCACAACGCCTTGCTAATTTTCGTTTTTTTTGGCTGGAACTGGATTTGAACCTGCCACCGCCGGCATATGGGGCCAGTGCCCTGCTCCTTTGAGCCACAGGCACCACCCATAATTTTTCATTTTTTAGTAGAGACAGGGTCTTGCTCTTGCTCAGGCTGGTCTCGAACTCCTGTACTCCAGGGATCCTCCCACCTTGGCCTCCCAGAGAGCTAGAATTAAAGAATTATTTATTTATTTATTATTAGTTTCAGAGACAGAGTCTCATTTTGTCTCCCTCAGTAGAGTGCCTTGGTGACACAGCTCACAGCAACCTCCAGCTCTTGGGCTTAGGCAATTCTCTTGCCTCAGCCTCCCGAGTAGCTGGGACTACAGGCA